GGGAGGGAAGACGAAAACCCAGGAAACATGGGAAAATATGGGGAAGCCTGGGAGCTGTGTGCTTTCTCTTTGTGTCTCTGGGCCTCTTCAAGGGGGGTGCGCGAGAGGCGCCGCCTGGGGGCGCTCGGGCCGTCGCGGAAGGGCAGCTTACGCGCCGTGGCTGGCAGTCCTGGCGGTCGCTACGCGTCCTCTCGCAACGGGTGTGCCGATGACTCGCTCGGCTTCCAGCATGGAGGTCGATGGGCCTGTTTTCCACCACCACCACCACCACCACCACCACCATAAGTTGGAGGGCGGACGGAGGAGGATGAAGAGGAGGACGAAGAGGAAGAGGAGGAGGCGGAGGAGGAGGAGGAGGAAAGGAGGCGGAGGAGGAGGAGGAGGACCCCTCCCTCCAACTTATTGAATCGCTTCGCTCATTCCGCCGGCCCGTGATATGGCATCGCTGGTTTTTGTCTGTGTGTTCGTTGCCCATGTTGCGCTCTTGGGGGCGGGTGTCGTTCGGACGCGTTGCGTGGGGAGTTTTGATGGTGAAGCAGTTCCCTGGGGGTCGTCTCTCGATGGGGCGAAATAGAGTCGTCGTCAAGATGCTTCTTTGGGGGGCCTCTTGGGGTCTGTTGAGAGGCCGTTCGGGGGCGCCTGGGAGACATGTTTGAAGCCTTCTGGGGCTTCTTTTGGGCCTCCTGGGAGTCTCCTGGGGCCTCTTGGCGACATCTTGGGGCCTCTTGGAGGCCTCTTGGGGCCTCTTTGGGACCTCCTGGGCGCCTTCTGGGACGGAGGGCTCCATTTTTGAGTTCTCGGTATCCCTCCTGAGTCCCTCTTGGGCCCGTCTTGGGGCCTCTTGGTCCGTCTTGGGCGGCACTTGGGCCGTCTTGAGGGCTCTCTTGGGTCGTTTCGGCGCCGTCTTGGGAGCTTCGTGGGCCGTCTTGGAGCGGTCTTGGGGGCCTCTTGGGCCGTCTTGGAGCGTCCGGAAGCCGAAAAAGCCAGAACACAAAAAACATAGAAAAAACCAATGAAAATCAACGATTTTGGCCTCTTGGGGCTCTCTTCGGAGGCCTCTTGGAAGGCTCTTGGGGCGTCTTGGAGGCCTCTTGGGCTGTCTTGGGGGCCTTTTGGGCCGTCTTGGGGTCATCTTCGGCGTCTTCGAGCGCTCTTTGGGCGTCTCGGGGGCCTCTTGGGCAGTCTTGGGGGCCTCTTGGGGCACTCTGAGCGCGCTCTGGGGAGCCTGAGAGGCCGCACCCAGAAGGAAAACCATCTCTGAGTAGACTTGGTCGGGCGGCGGTCGGGCGGCGGTCGGGCGTTGGTCGGGGTACTTTTCGCCGGGGGACCCCCAGGGGCCGCCCCGCGCGCGCGAACTAGAAATACTGTTAATACTGTTAACCAGTTACCGGAGATCTTAGCACGCCCTGGCCCGTTGGGCCGGCGAATTGTGGTGGTGTTGGAAAACACGCCCGTCAGAGGTGGGGAGCCCACAGCGGATGGGCGCCCCGCTCGAGACGTCCCCGACGAGACCTCCTCCCGAGGAGCCCAACAGCGACGACAGTTGCAGGAGGTTCGATCTCGACAGGAGGTTCGGGCTCCCGCTCGAGACTTTTTCCCCAGACTCTCTCTCTCTCTCTCACGTGCGGGGCCTCCGCTCGACACTTTCTCCAGATTCCCAAGACTGAAGAGCCCGAAGGAATTCTCAAGCTTTCCTCCATACTCTCAAGCTCTCCTCCACGTTCAAGCCTCAGGAATCTCAAACTGACAGCAGTCACAAGGTTTCCGAAACCAGCGCGGATTCGACCATGGAGGTGGGGACCCCACGGGTGGGGCTCCCGCTCGAGACTTCCACACGAATCTCTCACAGACGAGGCCCCCGCCCGAGACCTCTTCCAGATTCTCAAGCCGGAGGGGCCCAAAGCGACGACAGTTGCCGGTTTTCCGAAGCTTGCATGGACGTAGGCACCCCTTCGGGAGGGGCTCCGCTCGAGACTTCCTCGCGATTGGCTCACAGACGACGCTCTGGCTCGAGACTTCTTCCATATTCCAGCTTGAGTTGCTCAAAGGTGACGACCACTACAAGTTTTCTGAACCCCGCCGGGATTCGATCATGGAGACGGGGACCCCATAGGGAGGGGCTCCCGTTCAAGACTTTCTCGCGGATTCTCTTACAGGCGAGGCTCCCGCGTGAGTTTTCCTCCATATTCAAGCCTGAGGAATCCCAAACTGACGACAGTCACAAGTTTCCCGAAACCAGCGCGGATTCGACCATGGAGGTTGGGACCCCACAGTGAGGGGCTTCCGCTCGAGACCTCCTCGCGATTCTCTCACAGACGAGGCTCCCGCCTGAGACGATCTCCACATTCAAGCCGGAGGAGCCCAAGAGTGACGGCGGTTTTAGGTTTTCCGAAGCCCGCTGGGATTCAACGTGGAGGGGGTGACCCCATAGGGAGGGGTCCCCGCTCGAGACTTCCTCGCGAGTCTTCTACAGGCGCGGGTTCGCTCGAGACTGTCTCCAGATGCAAGCCCGAGGAGCCCAAACCAGACGACAGTGATGAGGTTATGGATGGCCGCCTGGGATTACCAGCATGAAGCGCGGACCCCATAGGGAGGGGGCTCCCTGCTGAGACTTCCTCCTTATTCACTCACAGACGAGGCTCCCGCCTGAGACTACCTCCATCCTATACTCGAGCTTGAAGAGGCCAACAGCGACCACAGTTACAGGATCCCGAGTGCCCGCTCGGATACAAAAAAAACACGAGCTGCGGGCCCCACAGGGAAGAGGCTCCCGTTGGAGGCTTCGTCACAGTTTGACTCGCAGACGAGGCTCCCTGCTGAGACTTCCTCCATACTCGAATTTGAAAGGCCACAAGGGAGAACAGTGACAGGATATTACAGGATCCCGATGACCCGCTCGGATTCGTAACATGAGCTGCAGGCCACATAGGGAGAGGGCTCCGGCCTGATCGTTCCCCGCAATTCTCCACATTCGAGGCTTTCGCTTGAGACCTTCTCAACATTCAGGCCTGCGGAGCCAACAAGTGACGACACTTACAGGATCTCGATGACCAGCTTGGATTATTAACACGAGCTGCGGGCCCCACAGGGAGGGGGCCTCCCGCCTGCGACTTCCTCACATTTCACTCACAGGCGAGGCTCCCGCCTAAGACATCCTCCATTTTCAAGCTTGAAGAGGCCAAAAGTGACTGTGGATGATGATGATGATGATATCGATGATGATGATGATGATGATGATGAGGATGATGATGATGAGGAGGATGCTGAGGCTGCTGATGATGATGATGATGAGGTGATGATGGTGATGATGATGCTACTGATGATGATGATGATGATGGTGATGATGATGAGGATGAGGATGAGGATGATGATAAGGATGAGGATGAGGATGAGGATGAGGATGAGGATGAGGATGAGGATGAGGATGAGGATGATGATGATGATGATGTTGTTGCTGCTGCTGCTGGTGATGCTGATGATGATGATGACGATGATGATGATGATGGTGATGATGATGCTAATGATGATGATGATGATGATGATGATGATGATGATGATGATGATGATGATGATGATGATGATGAGGATGAGGATGAGGATGAGGATGAGGATGATGATAAGGATGAGGATGAGGATGATGATGAGGATGAGGATGAGGATGATGATGATGATGATGTTGTTGCTGCTGCTGGTGATGCTGATGATGATGATGATGATGATGATGATGATCATGATCATGATCATGATCATGATCATGATCATGATCATGATTATCGAGATGATGATCCCGATAAGGGCACCCAATAAGGGCACCATTCGGGCTCAAGGGGCACCAGGCGGCTTCTGGCCAGAGGCCGCGCACGCCCCGCACCCGGGCGGCCAGCCTACAGGCCCTATATCCGCGACATGCAGCCGAGCCTCTTTCGGCAGCGCCTGCTGGAGCTCGCCGCCGAGTACGAGGCCCAGCACGCGGCGGCGGCTCGATCCCCGAGGCGCCCCAGCGCGGTCTCCTTCGCCGAGGCGCCCGACGGCCCGGCCGAGGACGGGGCGGCGGAGGGCGGGAGCGGCGGTGGGCCAGCCCCGGCGGCGGGCGCTGCGGCGGCCGCCGACCGTGGCGAGGGCCCCGGGCGCCCGGAGGGAAGCTGCCCGTCTCGCGCTCCCCCCGCGGAGCCGCCGAGGCATCCCGTGGAGAGTGCGGGCACGGAGGTCACGGAGCCGGCGAGGGGCTCCAGAGCAAGTTCAGAGCCGGCGAGGGGCTCCAGGGCAAGTGCAGAGGGTCTCGGATCGCAGCGCGGTTCGATCCCCGAGGCAGTCCCCATCGCCGGCAGGCGCGTTCGCAGCAATGGCTCCACTCCGGCAGGCGTGTACGCACGCAGCCTGAGTTCGGTTTCGGACCTTACTACTATTTCGAGTTTGCCGTGGACGCATTCTGCCTCCATGCTAGAGAGAAACAGGTTCAGCAATCACGTGAGGAAGTCGGCGATCAGGAGATTACCGCAGCAGAATACTAAACATGGACTTGCCTCGTTTGTGAAGAGCCGTTTCTTCAGCGTCTTATCCGCATCCGTGATCTTGGTGAGCACAGCGCTGATTGGTATTGAGACCCAAGCTCTTTCCAGCCTGTCCAACCAAAGGTCAGGGTCGGATCACCTCTTAGTTGTTCTATCAGTATCGAATCATTTTCTCACGTTTCTTTACCTGGCGGAGGTGGCATTGCGCATAAAAGTCTTAGGAATCATGCACCCCAGGGACAGGTGGTGGAATCTATTCGACATCGCCATCCTACTTCCGGCGCTCGCCGAAGTTGCTCTGGACATCGTTGTGCGCGCGTTCTTCGGCAATGATAGCAACTTGTTCGATAACGGTGGAATGGCGAAGATGCTGCGCCTCTTTCGCCTTACCCGGCTTCTCCGCATCGTTCGAACGTTTCGCCAATTGAAGCCCTTAGAGTGCTTGTGCATTCTATCGCATCTGCCAGCAAGTCTGTCTTTTGGGCTCTCATGCTGCTCGTCATGATCGTGTTTGCCTTTGCTGTTATCTTGACGCAGGCTGTGTCTGAGCATACCGAAGGTGGCACCCGAATAGATGACGGTGATCTACTAGTCAAGTATTACGGAGACCTTTTCCGGTCAATGTTGAGTCTTTGGATGGCTGTGTCGGGGGGGATTAGTTGGCACGAGCTCACCGCGCCGCTGAACGAAATAGGAAGTTCCGCTTGGATGATGCTGTTCCTCATATACGTTACCTTCGTATATTTCTTCGTGCTCAATGTGGTGACTGGTGTCTTCTGCCAAAATGCAATCGAAGGGGCTCAAACGGATCTCGATCTCACTCTCGAGGCCCAGTTCAAGGAGAAGCAGGTATACGCAGACCGCCTGAAGCTGCTCTTCGAGGAGATGAATGCGGATTACGAGACCGATTACGAAGGGCTAACAGCAGCCGATATATACGAGCAGATGGAGAAGCCAAAGGTGCAGTCGTGGTTCAAGGCTATGGACATCGATGCGAAGCAGACGTGGAAGTTGTTCAAGGCCCTCGACCCGGGAAACTCTGGCAGAATCTCTCTCCAGGACTTCGTGGAGGGGTGCCTGCAGATGAAGGGGTCGGCTACCCGCGTGGACGTGGAGTCGCTGAAGTGGGAGATCAGAGCTGCGAATAAGCGCGCCGAGCGCAATGCTGAGAGAATCGCCCAGCTTCTAGAAGCCATTCCAGGATCGGAGGTCGCACTTGTTAACGCCTGTCGCGGATCTGGTGTCGGGTGACGGAGGTGGGCTCTATGCCTTCTCGTTTTCTTCCCTCTCCTCTTGGGAGGGGGAATCTGGGGCATGTTGGTTGCTCTGCAGCTGCAAAATGCACGCGACAACCTAGCATGTTTAATTCTTGATGTTTGCGAATCTTTGTTTTGGACACCCTGTGCGCACTCAGCCGTCTCGGGTGGGCAGCGAGCCACGGCCGACGTGGTCTTCTCACCGTTCGCTGATCTGCAGGACTGGGAAGACATCGTCCTCTTACAGTCTCCAGTCTCCTGTGCCCTCCTCGAGTCGCCGGTCGGCGTCTGGCGCTCGCAGCCGACGCCACGATTTTTTCATGGGCCGTCCCTGGGATGGGGGCCGGGGAGCCTCTCCGAGGCACGGGGCTCGCCGCGGCCAGAAAACAAACAACAACAACAACAACAACAACAACAACAACAACAACAACAACAACAACAACAACAACAACAACAACAACAACAACAACAACAACAACAACAACAACAACAACAACAACAACAACAACAATCATCTTAAGACTGATCGCTCTTATATGCGCGCGCGTCACTCAATATGTAAATCCCAAACCCTCGATACCCACCCTCTTCGTCTTCGGTCATACCCCTTTGGGGGTATATCTTTTTTACTCGCCACGTGTAGTTGGCGCAGCCCCTAAAACAGGAAGAGCAGGGGGAAGGAGGAAGGGAGAGCGAGGAGGAAAAGAGTGGGGGGAGGGAGGGAGGAGGGAAGGGGCAAGGGGGGGAGGATGGATGGAGGACGAAAGAGGTTAGCAGGAGGGGAGGGGGGCAAAAGAGGAGGTAAACAAACGGACGAACCAGACAGACGGGTCGAGCGGCGGACTCTGAGGGGCGGGTCGGGCTGGCGGGGCGGGCGGACGCCAACGGACGGGTCGGGCGGCGGACCCTCGCTGGCGGGTCGGGCGGGCGGTGGCTTAAAGCGGGCGGGCGAGATGCCAAGAGAGCGAACGGGCGGGCTGTAACAGGCGGATCGGGCGGGCGAAACCTGGCGGGCGGGTGACTAAAGGGTGAATCCTGAATGAATCACGAGGCACACCCTCGATACCCGCCCTCTTAGTATTCGAACGTACCCCCTTTAGGGGGATTATTTCTCTTTGGAAGGGCGGGCGGAGGGACGAGGGAGGAGGGAAGGGAGCAGGGAGGGACGAGGGAGGAGGGAAGATGCTAGGAGGGACGGGACGCGGAGGGGGGAGGACGATTTAGAGGAGAGAGAGAGAGAGAGAGAGAGGGAGAGAAAGAGAGAGGGGGGAGGAAGGGAGGGAGGAGGGAGTTTGGAGGAGGGACGAGGAAGGAGAGAGGAGAAACAGGAGGGAGGAGGGAGGAGGCAGGAGAGGGGAGGGAGGAGGCAGACGGGAGGACGGAGGAGGGAGGCAGGAGAGGGGAGGGAGAAGGGAGGAGGAGGGAGGGAGGGAGGGATGAGGGGAGGGATGAGGGAGGAGGGAGGAGGGAGGAGGGAGGAGGGAGGGAGGGGGGCGGGGGTCCGGAGTAATTTGCGAGGAAGTCTCAGGCGGGAGCGCCTCCGCCTTAGTAAACTGCGAGGAAGTCCCAGGCGGGGGCGGGGGTCCTGAGTAAATTTGGAGGAAGTATCAGGCGGGAGCCGTTGTTGTTGTTGTTGTTGTCCGGGGGGCCAACAACGCAGTTTGATGCCCACGACTTTCCCTGATAAAAAACAGGGTGCGAGCCCCGGAAGGGGCACTTCAATTGAAAAAATACAATGTCCGCCGGAGGGGGGGGATCAACAATAATTATTCTTCAGTAATTAGAGTTCAACCACAACAACAACAAGAAAATGATTATCGGGATGATGACGTCGATGATGGTGCTGATTATGTTGATGATGATGCTGATGTCGATCATGCTGATGGTGATGATGAGGATGATGACGATCATGACGATCAATGTGCTGCTGAGTATGATGATGCTGATGCTGATGCTGATGATGATGATGACGACGAATGACGACGATGATGATGATGATGATGATGATGATGATGATGATGATGATGATGATGATGATGATGATGATGATGATGCTGATGCTGATGCTGATGCTGATGCTGATGCTGATACTGATGATGATGGTGGTGATGATGATGCTGATGATGGCATGAGGAGGCGGCGAAGGGATCCTGCGCAAGGCATCCAGAGAGAACAAGAACACACACTTAGGATGTGGGTAGACACCTGAGGGACATCAATGATTTTTGCCTCTGGGGGCCCTCCTGGGACGGCTCTTGGGGCTCTCCTGGGGCGCCTCGAATGTTTCTTGTCTTGGGTCTTCTTGGGTCCGTCGTGGTCGTCTTGGACCGGTCGTGCAATGATTTCGGTCTTTCTTGGACCGTCTGGGCGGCCTCTTGGGCTCCTCTTGGCCCAGTGTGGAGAAGTCGTGCGACAAGCCGTGACGGGCCCCACAGGGAATGCCGGGATACCCACGAGACTGTAGGGTTGATGATTGAGGATCTAAGGATCCGTGCCTTTGAAGGAAAATGTCGGATTGAGGACTGAGACTTAATGGATTATGCCCAAGGACCTGAGGACACTCCAACTCGTGCCTCAAGCGCACTGTTGCGGATGTGGGTTGTATATGATACCCCCACCCCCGTAGGGGAAGAAGGGGGTTGGAAGACGAAGCGCTCTGGACCACCTGAGCCCAGAGAGCTGGTGGTACATACTCTGATCGCCGACGACTGGATGCGCACAGGGGTTCGCAGTAGAGTGCTGCCTTGGGCCTCTTCTGGGGCCCTCTGGGGCCTTCTTTGGTGTTTGCTTGCGGGAGCTGCCCGGCCAGGACTGTCAGCAGGTCCCAGAGGACTTCGGGAGGTCAGCCAGAAGGACCTGGTTCGAACCTGCGGCAGAGCGAAACAGCGTGCGAGGCCAAGGATACAGGGCATGGGAGAGAGCAGGGCACATACGGTCCAGCCTTGCAAGGATCATGCCTTCATCTTCTCTTCTCTTCCTCCACCTCCCCCAGTTTCTTCCCCGCATCGCCTGTGGATGCGGAAGGTTCCGCGCACGTTGAGCAGTGCGACTGCGAGGAACTCAGCGATGATAGCATTTTATCCTCTGGGCATGCTCGGCCTGCCGCAGTGTCTAGGCCTCCGTCCCGGGTGCCGCCTCGGGAAGCGACGAGGCGGCATATGCGGTTGTGCTGTATGGTGTCGGTGGAGTTGTTCGATTTCTGTGCATCATGCGAGTTGTTAGAACTCTGTGCATCATGCTGCCTGGTCCCTTGATATGTGCACGAATGGTGTCGCACAGCATAGCGTGCTCTGCGCAGCTCCGCGTTTGCACAGCCCGCACGCTCTGTCCTGCGGGCGTGGCCGAATCGTTGGACCTGTCCCGGAGTCGTAGCTGCACATCCCGCCCTGTCTCACGCAGCCGATTTCTCGCGCCGACTCGATTGTGGAAGCACTCGCTGGGATGTTGGTTCGCCTCTTCTCCAAAAAAAGTGCAGTCCGATATGCGGGTTACACTACACTCGATCGGGTGCTACTAACTGACATGAGCAATGAGTTGTCAGCTCCACTGCTCGCGCAAATGTCCCACCCTCCCAACCGCAACTTGTTCGGCAAAACCCACGCGGCCGCGATTGCGGCGGCTGCTTGGCAATGGCCGCCGAATCTGTGCAGCCGCGCTGGTGCGCGCTAGCTCGCTCGCAGGGCGGCCAGCTGGTTTGGTTTGGCATAGCTGATGCTGCCGCGATGGCGCTGACCGCGGGAAACTCCCCAGCGCGTCTCAAAGGCCGCGCTGGCGCGCGGGCACTCTAGTGCGGGTCTTTGGCTCGAGCGGGCAACGGCGGCAACGATGATGGTAGTAGCGATGGTAATAGCGATGATGACGATGATGGCGAGGCCAATGACGGCGCTGATGCTGGCAACGACGATGACGATGATGATATCCATGTTTCGGCGGTGAAGGTGAGGGACTGGTGATGGCGGCAATGGCGGCGATTGGCGATGACAGTGACGTCGGTGATGCGATGGTGCTGGTTACGGTGATGAGAAGGAACTGCGCGAGCAGACATTCAATGTATGTATATACATATATATATATATATATATATATATATATATCGAAAGGCTGCCGCCTCTGCCGCCGACCCTTATTGAGCGACGTATGTTTAATTCGTTTGTTGTCGGGCTGCCTTTCCGAGCACGGTAGGAAGGGTTCAGGTGAGACATCCAGGCTTGAGCCTCGCCCCCTGGACTCTTGATTCTCTGTTGCACCTCGGGCTCCTCTCTATCGAATAGCCATCGGCCCATCTCGCCACTGCGCCTGGGTTGTGGGTGTAAAGCCTATTGGATGTTCGGTGAGATTTCGAGGGTGACCTTTAGGGAGCCTCTTGGATTGGATGCAGTTTTGAGGCCTCTTGGGGGCAGCTTTGGAGCCTCTTGGGGTCGCTGTTGGGTCCCCTGGGCGCCTCTTGGAGCCTCTTGGGGCCTCTTGAGTGCCTCTTGGGGCCTCCTGGGGGCCTCTTGGGGCGGATCGCTCGGATTGTGGGTTCGTGTTCCCTCTCTCGGGCCACTATTGGGGCCATCTTGGAGGCCGCTTGGACAGTCCTGGGGTGGTATTGGGGGCCTTGAGGGCCGTCTGAGAGCGTCGGGAAGGAAGCACGGCGAGAACGCCCAAATTTTTGAAACAACGAATACAAATCAATGGTTGTTGCCTCTCAGGGTCCTCTTGGGAGGCATCTTCGAGGCCTCTTGGGGCATCTTGGAGGCCTCCTGGGCCATCTTGAGGCCATTCAAGGCGTCTTGGAGCGATCTTTGGGCGGCTCGGGGCGTTCTGACTTTAAACGGAGAAGGTTAAAGGCGAGGTATAAATCGAGCATGTACCGCTGCCGTGCCTGGCTCAAGCCGGGCCCGGCCAAATATATGACTGTGCCTCACTGAGGCGCACGACTTGCATCAGAGATCGGAAAATACCTTTTCCATTGACGATGCCCATCCTATCCTTTACTCCAGATCCCATGCTTCGTCTCGCTCTCTTGCTCATGCGATATGAGCCAAAGCCTGGGATATGGGAGCGCCTAAGGCGGACTACATACCTAAGCTTACCAGCTTGTTTTCGACTTGGTAGCGGAGCTGGCTACACTCTCGTGTGGCTGGCTCTCGCTCTGATTCCTGTAATCCACGGCACAACTTGGTGGACTACTACTACGGTGGAATACCATGTTGCGCCGGCTCTGCGAGGAGCGGAGCCAGTCCGCGATCGAGCTAGCGGGGCAACCCGCGAACTCGAGACGCTCTCTCCTACTTCACTGCGCTACTTCACTCCCGACTTCCACCAGATGCCAATCGGCAACTCGATCGAGAACGTGGTCACCCTGCGGGGCTACCCGCAGCGGGGCCACCTGCATCCCGTGCCAGTCAGGCGCCTCACGGCTACTACGCCAGAGCCTGACAAACCACAGCCTAAACCAATCACCGAAGCCGAAATGCACATGCATTGGATCAAGATAACTATATTCGGCATTCTGTGGGTAATAATGGGATGTGCTGTGGGATACATGCGGCAGGGGATGGACGACACGCGTACTACTGGCCCTTCATGGGACCCTGCCGGTACTACGCCTTTTCGCGAATACGTTCGCGAAGTACATGCATGGTTAAACGTAACGAGTGGCAATATGACACCACCACAACAAGCTGCAGCACTACAACGAGGCCTTCAAGGTCTGGCTCGTCGTATCGCCATGCAGGTCCCCTCCCAGATCATCAATTATGGTGTAACTGTCAATGGACAGCCAACGGATGCAGTAACATATATACTGTACTTACTGAGCACCAAATTTGAAAATCTGGAAGATGAGCGCCAGCTCAACTCTGGCACTGCCCTTATCGACTTCCGCGTCGAAAGGGGCGAGCGAATCGACTCAGTATTAGCTCGATTCGAGATGGCCCGTGACGAGGCTAACTCTGTTGGCTTTGTCATCCCCAACTTTCAGATCCTAACGCTGATTCTCTTCAGAGCGTTAGGCGTTGGCGCGTCACGAGCCCAACACCTGCTTGAGCCCTTCAATCATCAGATGCCCCGAACACAAGCAGACTATGACAGGCTGCTGACCAGGATGAGGAACTACGGACATGTTGCCGAGCGCTCTCCTGGCAACATAGCGGGTATCTTCACAGGGCACCACTCACATGCAGGTGTCTACGCCACGACTGCGGGGTCACCCGCTGGTCCTGGCGAGCCAAATCCCTGGGCTGACCCAGCCGATATGCCCAACGAGGCCACTGCCCTTTTAGGGCAGACTGGCCAGGCATCAGCAGAGGCAGTTGAGGCGAACGCCTGGTCGAACTACTCGCCAGGCGCCGCCTACACTGCAAGCCCGCCCTCGGGCACAACCCTCTGGGGCCAAGCGGAGTCATCCGCTCAAGGGTCTCAGCCACCCTCACCGTTTGAATCTGGCACTGACACGGATACCTCATCTGACGATGAGCACAATGGCATAGTCTCTGCTGGTAATGACTACCCAGCGGATGACACTCACCTCTCTGAACAACAAAGAGCGGAAGCCGCCTTTATGGCTTATCGCAAATCAAAACGCCGTTGGAGGCGCTTTATGAAGAAACCAGTCAGAAAGGTGAGACGTGCAGTACGCCGACATTTCAAACGATTTGGAAAGGGTCGTGGCAAAGGGGGTCGCAGACGCCGTATGCATGGTAGGGGTATTACTGCTTTCCTCACGTCCTTAACTGATATGGCTTTTGAAGAAGTTCTTATCGGAGGCAAAGGTCGGGGTCACAGGCGGACCTCCGGTAAGGGAAAAGGGCGGAGGGGCAACCCTAGGGACGCTTCTGGCAATACTATGAAGTGTCATACATGCGGTAGCACAGAGCATTTGCGCGATCAATGCCCGAAGGGGAAAGGAAAGGGATCCGTACATTTGGCTCAAAATTCTTTTATGGATGACATAGATTACATTGACTACGAGTTTTACGTCAATCCAGAAGCGGCTCCCGCCGCGGGCTCCTCCACGTATTACGTGATGGCCCGCTACGCTGAAGCAACTGTAGCCCTGGAAGACTACGCAGTGACCCTCTTCGACGAGTTCCACGGCTGGGACGAGGTCGACGAGGTCGCGTACAATGCTTGGTTCGGTCTTCCAGCGGGGCCACCCGCCGGCGACGAGGTCTCCGAAGCCGAGACCGTCCCGGCAACAGAGGAAGAACTCACCGCCGTGCTGGCCCCGCAAGTAATTGGCATGCCGTTGCTGCCAAATCCTTCGTGGGCTGGTTCGGAGGCGGGAGACGCCGATGACGAAATGCGGGGCCATCCCGCGTATTCCGACTCCGAAGAAGCCGAAGAAGATTATAAGGACATGCTCCAAGAGCAGGTTTCAGAAGCAATCCAACTCCTGAGTGCGCCAGCACAGCAGCAGATAACTATGAACGAACTGCTGTCACACCCAGGAGCTGCATGTCTACGTCCATACTTGAATTCGGACATGTCAGCATCTCAGATGCTGACAGCACTCCAAGCTATAGCGGGGTCACCCGCCGAAGAGACGCCAGACGCAACAGCGGGGCCACCCGCTTGGTCTATGGATGTATTCATGCAAGGTTGTGATCAAATGGACATTAACGACCTCACGATGGAGCAGTTAAGTGACATCGGGTACTTCCGAAGCCCGTATCAAAACGTGTTCATGGTCCAGGACAGCTCAGAGGACTCGGAGGACATGCGCTACGCCAAGAGGGACAGACGACCGTCGCCTCCCCGAGACTCAGAGCATGACGATCAAAGGCCAATGGCACGTGGTAGTGCGTCAGCGGGGCCAGCCCGCAGAAGGAGCCGTTCAGCTCCCAGACGCCCCACACATGATGAATCGGGCTATCCATACAGTACTGAGCACTCCGTCGGAGTATCCGCTCAGCATGTGCCGGATTGGTACATCAAATGGTACCCCGGCTACTCGATGGACACGCTTCGCCACTGGTATTCTAAGGAGTACTGCACTAAAAGGGACGAAACTGGCGCGATAATACGTACCAAGGGTGGCAAGACCAAGACGCCAGAGGCTTGGGACAAAAGGGCTAAGAAACAGGAGATCATCAACGATCGCAAGACATACAGGAAACAAGTATGTCAGTGCGAGCCCTTCAAAGGTCACATGCGCAGGTGTCCGATGGACCGCCCCTCCAGGAGCCCTCATCACGGTGAGACCCCGTGGAATTGGTCTCATGGAGATGACGCTGGCAACGTCCATGATCCTAATAAGGAGGTCCCTGGAGGAGGAAAGCGCATCACCGAAGCCGATCGTGTCCCTATGACCGAAGAGGTGGCCAACACCGTCAGGGAAAATTGGGTACAGCTTCCCAATGACCATCGCCTCAAGGAATGGAACCGCCGATTCCATAAAGAGGCGGGGTCATCCCGGGGTCACCCGCAATCCAGCAAAGAAGCGGGGTCACCCGCAGACGCGGCGC